GTCCGTTGGAGGCTCATCTTCCCGTAAGGGATCTTGATCCTCTTTTTTTAAAGATCTTAAAAGCTGATGTTTTTCCTTAGAAATTCAATTAATGTTTTAGTGACGGAGGCTCCAGGGTGGTTCTCTTGAAAGGATCCCAAACTTGGATTTTTTCTTAATATTGCATTCATTGTACATTCTGGATATGTCTATTATCACATATATATATATTATGAATATTTTCTCATAGAATGTGGCTTGTCTTATCTTTTTCTTAATGGTGTCTTTCAAATAGAACTTTAAAGTTTTGATGAAGATCAATTTAATGATTTTTTTCTTTTATGGTTAATGCTTGAACCTAAGAAAGTCTTACCTCAGGTAGCAATGGTTTTTCTCCATTGTTTCTTTCTAGAGGTTTTATAGTTTTAGCTTCTATGTTTAGGTCTGTGATCCATTTCATGTTCATTTTTGTGTATGGGGTGAGGTGTAGGGGACCCAGGTTTATTTTTTTCCTGTATAGATATCTGTTTATTCTAGCACTAATAGTTGAAAAGTTTCTTTTCTCCATAGAATTACCTTGGAACCTTTGTAAAAAAACAAAAATCAATTGATGACATATGTTTAAATCTATTTCTACACTCTGTTTAGTTTCATTGATCTATATGTCTGTCTCTGTGCCAATACTACACTATTCTGATTACTGTAGCTTTATAGTAAGTCTTGAAATCAAGTACTATAAATCTTCAAACTACTTTCTTTTTCAAAATTCTTTTGGCCAGTCTTTGTGCTTAGAATCAGCTTAATCAAATACCTACAAAAATGCTTTCTAGAATTTTGATTCAGATCGCAAATGAATCAATAAATTAATTTGGGAAGAATTGACATCTTAATGGTATTGAGTCTTCCAATTCATGAACATGGTATATTTCTCCATTTTTTGAGATCGCCTTTAATTTTCCACAGCAGGGTTTTGCAATATTAGTATACAGGTCTTTGTTGTGTTGAATTTTCCCCTAAGTATTTTGTGTTGTTGATACAATTCTAAATAGTATTTTTTTATTCCATTGTTCAGGTGTTCATTGCCAGTATATAGAAATACAGTTGATTTTTGTATCCTGACCATGTATCTTGAAACCTTGCAAAATTCACTTGTTAGTTATTATTAGTTTTTTGTAGATTCCTTAAGATTTTCTAAATACACTATCACATCATCTGTAGATAAGGGCCCTTTTATTTATCCTCTCCACTTCCTATGCTTTTTATTTCCTTTTGTTGATTTATTGCACTGGCTGGGACTTCTAGTACCATGTTGAACAGAAGTGATGAGAGTGAACATCCTTGCCTTGTTCCTGATCTTAGGAATACAAGTGTCTTTCACCACTGACTGTGATGTTAGCTGTAGGTTTTCCATAGATGCCCTTTATCGAGTGAGAACTGTTGTTCTTCCGTTTCTAGTTTGCTGAAAGTATTCATAATTGAATTTGTTGAATCCTTTTTTTGCATCTATTGAAATGATTATATGATTTTTAACCTTTATTCTGTTGAAATGGCAAATTACTTTGATTTTCAGATGCTAAAAAAGCATGCATCCTTGAGATAAACCTCACTTGGTTAGGATGTGTTACCCTTTTGTATATTGGATTTGATTTGCTAATATTTTGGATCCATATCCAGCAGTAGACTGACCAGGTGGGCAAATAGTCTGCACCATCCATATAGGGTATCTGGAACAAGTTTGAGCACATTCTACAGAGATCTAATATTTTAATGAAGCCCCCAGATATACCCAGAAATAATCTCACTTCCTTTTTCATCTGTCCTTTGGAATGTACTGCCACAAAAGACAATATATGAATATGTAGGACAGGGTTTGAAGTATGAGTTTGAGAGTAAATATTTGGTTCCTTGATGGCAGGTACTTTATCTCATTCATTTCTACCAGTAAAAGATTAAATTCAACTGCTATTACAGAGACCTGAAATTACAATGGCTTATACAGAATGGAAGTTCCTTCTTCTTTCCCATGCCTGGTACTGCTCTCAGCCACAAAAGTCCTCATGGACCCAGACTTCTCTAGCTTACTGCCCTGCCAAACCAGTGATGTGACCTTAGTAATTCTTGTGGCCTAAGGGGGCTGTATCCACATTCTAGCAACAGCAGAATGAAGGAAGAGAGGAAGAGGAGGAGGGAGAGCAAAGGGAGAGTGCCAGCTAACAGCTGCCATGGGCGACTTCCACATCCACATCCACTAACTAGAACCTAGTCACCACAAAGCAAGGGTTTTAAGGCAAGAGCTGTGGAGAATAAACAGTCACTCTCTGTATTGGAAAATCTTTTTTTTTTTTTTTTTTAACATTTAAATGGTGTTTCTGGAAGTTCCTAAAACAAAGCTATTCACAACATTTCTCTTTCTGGGCCTGGGTTTCCTGGAATAGTAAAGTTATGTTAACAAAGACAGTGGAAAAGTAAAGTCATATTAATGTACACAGTAAGCTGTGTGGGTGTGAAAAGTTTTGGTTCTCAGTATCTATAGCCCTATGAGCTTGCATGGTGCACCCTATAGTACTCAACACACGTTTGTTGACCATGTATATTATATTTATGCTTCTAGAATTTTTGTGCCAAAAATAGAAATAGGAAAGGTGAATAAGTTCTAGATTGCTAAAACGGTAAGATCCAGAACTGCATTAGATACTGACTTTACTGCCTAAAGTTGTGTTGGATGTTCTAGAATAAGTGTGCACTGGGGTTCATTGACCATACAGAGACTGAGATAGGGATTAGGGATCAGGAACAGTGTTGCCTCAGAGAGCAAAGGACATGAGAAATAGATGTCACCAATTTTATTACACTCTTGCAGGTATTAAAGTCTTACTTGCACCAAATTGAGACTTTCTTGCAGCAATCTGAAAGGATGGGGAAATATTTAAGAGACAATGACTTTTCCATCGTGTACTTTGATGTTCTTTAATGCCAAGCCATGTACCAACTAGAATCTCATGTACCACTAATGGTACACTCTGTTGCTTAGGAAATACATGTAAATGGAAAATGCTGAACTGAGGAGATCTGGGTTCTAGTCTTGGTTCTGTCGCTCTGAGACCTTGGAGATGACTCAACCTTAAGTTACCTCTTCTGTGGCTTTTCTTTTCTTTCATGGACTGTTATGCAATTGGCTCTTGAAAGACATACTATAAGGATGTATGAACAGCATGCTTGAATGATGTATTCTTACCTAAGCATGAAACATTACGTGGCTTTGAACAAAAACTCTGTCTACATTAAACATGGGCCCCAGCTGGGTGCGGCAATGCGTAGGGAAGTGTATGCCACCGAATACCTTGCTAAGATGGTTGTAACAACTGATCAGGTATAAATCAGGGAATGGGTTGATTACCAAGGACCTTAGACCTAGACATGTTAAGTTAGAGCCTTAGAGGCCATTTCAGATAAACTCAGGTCCCTGTCTAGCCTGGTAGAGTTGGGGGTTGGGGGATGGGAATGCCCCTGCCAAGAGAAAGGTGATAACCTAAGAAGGTTCTGAATTCTGGAGCAGGCTGTTCCATGAGCCGTGCTGGTTCTTATGAGGATTGCATCTGGCTCCCACATCTCCCTCTGCCTCTCAGAGGCCGGGTGTTTCTAGGTGCTGGACTGAATTGACCCCCTGGAAAGGCCTGGTGGTTGACTGTTATGAATGCAATAATTTACCAGCTCACTACCTCGGAAGTGCCGAGCGACTGAACAGGGTTGCAGAAAACCCTCTGAAAGTATAAACTGTTTCCACATTATTTGGAGTTTCATACTGAGATTTTTTTCTCCCCGCACCCCGTCCCACTAGCTGTCTTTTTGTCCCCTAGGCATTTATTCCAGAACGAGGGGGGCAGAACCAACCCAAAACTCAAGCACCAAGTTCTAATGCCTCCCTCCTCACCTTCCCTCTGTCCACACAGACACAGTATAGAGAACCACACAGAAAAGAGAACCAGTTTTTCTCTTTTCCTAGGGTTAGCTTTGGTCTCTTCTGTGTTAGTTTTGTTTGTTTTGATCACACCATTTTCAGAGGCTCGGTGGTAGCATGGTGAGTGCCAGCACTTCGCATGATTCTGGGTTAGGAAGGGGCATGCTCCTGGGATAGATGGGAAGAGGGCAGAAGGGGCATTTGCACTTTGGGATAGCAGTGTGAGTCTTGGGAATTTGTTTCTGCACTGGTCAGGGGAGGAAACAGGAAGGGAGTGGATGTGGGGTCTACTCACAGGAGGGGGTACAGGCATCCAACATGCTCGAGGTTCCCTCCCCCTATTTTACCCAGATAGTAGGTTCCAAAGAACTTCACCAGGGGAAAAACAGAGATCACAGAAGAGAAGTCCAGAGCCTGAAGTTTGTTCAAATGAGGGAGAGGGTGTATGAAGCAGTCCTCACAGTTTGCCTTACAGGGTATGGACTTGAGCCGTGGTTGGCATTTCGGTCCTGGCAGGGAGAGCCACTTCTTTCCTGTGGTTTTGCCCACCTGCAGCCATTCAGGGGAATTAAGAACGCGGTTTAAAGCACCTGTGCCACCCCAAGTCCTGTGCTGGGTGTGTTTGCACGTGTTGTTTCATCTTCACAGCAACCTGGCAGCTCCTGAATTTGTTGGGGTTTTTTGCAGATGAAGCCCTTGAGATAGAAAACATAATTATTATCAACCTTAGTGGCAGAGCCAGATTCAAACCTGGTCTGTCTGATTTCTGAGCCCAGGATTCATTCATATAGAGAGGTCGAGATAGAATCCTAGGATCTCAACAAGGTATAAATGGCTCGCATTCTCAGAACACAGAGCCAGACCGTCATCTCTCAGTCTCCCTCTAATGATGGTTCTGAGGCTGTGGCTGATAAAGTTTTGTCAGGAGGGTTTTTTAATTCCCCAGTGCTTCCCCGAAGGCGAGCTGGCTTCCACCTGACCCGTGGGACTCTGTGCTGATCACCTGACGCTCCTGAGAGGACTTGAACTCGATTAATGCATTTCCTTTTCTCTCCTTCCACAGATGGATCTTTCTGTAGAAACTCTCTTTAGCTTCATGCAGGAGCGCCAGAAAAGGTATGCCAAATATGCAGAGCAGATCCAGAAAGTCAATGAAATGTCCGCCATCCTCCGCCGCATACAGATGGGCATCGACCAGACCGTGCCCCTGCTGGAGCGGCTCAACAGCATGCTGCCTGAGGGCGAGCGGCTGGAGCCCTTCAGCATGAAGCCCGACCGCGAGCTCAAGCTGTAAGTCTCCCCTCCTGCGGGGCCAGTGTTCCCGGCACCGCCAGTACCCTGAGGACATTCGGAACCCAAGTCAGATGGTGTGGCCAGGGCTCGAAGCTGGTTGAAGGTGATGTGAAGCAGCCCCACTGCCTGAACATATTACTCTGCCCTACCTCCGCCTTTCCTTGATGCAGTTCCCTTTGCAAAGTGAACCAAACGAATTCTCAGTGATACCTGAAGTTGGAACGGTTTTATTAGGAATTCTTTACAGAACTCTGCATTGGAAATTATTTTTTAGATTTTTTTTTTAAATTGAGTGTATATATTATCTAGTCTGGCTTGTGGAGTGAAAATATGGAGAGAAGGGAGAAATATTTTAAGGAGCTCTGTGTTCTTGATGCCTCCCTGAAATTTTGCTCAAGGCTCTGGGTTATGGGTTGTAAACATAAAGAACTAATTTAACCCAGGTCTGTGTGTTGTCTGTTCCTACCGTTTCCATCCTAGCAGGCCTTTCTCTGGGCACCCTCTCCTGCCCCGGTGAAACACTGGTGGTGTTATGGGCCAGGTTATGGTGTTGCTCATGTGTCGTCATCAGAAACTGGCGACTCCCTTTCTACACCCTCATCGGCTCATCTCCCACTGACGACTGGCTTCCTGATGCATAGTTCAGTTTCCCTTTATTACATCAACCCTGGCAGGACTCCTGTTTTTCAGGCAGGTTTCAGGCAGCATTTGTTTCACTCGGCTGGTTGTGGCTCGGCATTGATGGGACACCAGAAAGCACTCACCCAGCAGGCGTTCATGGTGCCAGGAGGCAGAAACAGCCACAGCCTCCCTGCCCTTCTTTTCTGAGGACAGTAAACTCAAAATGTTGCTGAATTTCTCTGGGAGTTAGTTTAGGAAATGAAGTAATTTGGGTAACCATAGAGGTACTTAGTGCAGTACTTTGCATATCGTAAATGTTCTAATGGACGAAAAGACAGAATAAGCAAAGAAATGGGATGTAGGAACAGACCCTTGTGGGGAAATTGAGACTGAGAGCTGGGGAGGAAGGGAAGCCCCTGGGGCCAGGATGTCATGCAGGTCTCACCGGGCTCCCTTTACTCCTCCAAACCTCAGAGGGGTTTCTTCGATGTCAGAAACAGCCTTTGGTATATTTATAAGATTAAAATAGATCTCACTTAGCATATCTCAGGTAAACTTTATCTACTTCTTGGAGTTTTAAATTTTTAAAATCTTGGATTTTTATCAGATACTATCTTGCAAGGTTCTTAAAACCCAGAATAAAATGTAGGACATAAACAGCATGAAACAGTATGCAGAGAAAGATCAGCAGAGTAGAATATAGTACAGAATGGACTGTGTTCTGGACTGTATTCTGAATGACAGAGAAACATGAACATTCTAAGCTAAATGGGGAAAAACAATTTTTTTAATTCAGACATAGGGAAAAAACAACAGCATGTAGGATTTTCTAAGGACAAAAATATCAAGATTGTTCATTCCCTCTGAGCTGGAAAGACAAGTTGGAAACCAGAGCCCAGGGAACAGGCCAAGGTCATATCTACCTTTTCGCCAGGTCAACCCAGCTCCCATTTCTGCCTTCTTGGGCCCTGGTGCCTTTGCTTCCCCATTGGTGAGGTGAGGTGGGGTGAAGACATGGGGCCTGTGGAGATAAAGGGTCTGAGGGAGCCATGGAGGAATTGGAGGCAATGAGCTGGGAGTGGGAGCTGTGCTTTTAACCTTTGCTGGGCCACACTGGTGAAAGAAGTTTGTCTTTATAACACCTTTTGATGGTCAGGATTTTAGTGGGGCCGCAAACCATTTCCTGAGCAATTCACTAGAGAGGTCAAATCAAGAAAGATGTTCTGGCTCGGCTGGTGTAGCAAGGTGGCTGAGCACTGACCTATGATTCAGCCATTCGATTCCTGGTCAGGGCACATGCCCGGGTTGCGGGCTCGATCCCCAGCTGGGGTGTACAGGAGGGAGCTGATCAATGACTCTCTCTCATCATTGATGTTTCTACCTCTTGCTCCCTCTGTTCCTCTCTGAAATCAATAAAAATATATATTTTTTAAAAAGATGTTCTGTAACTTAGAAACCTGTTGAATAGCTAAGGTTATTCCAGGAAATGTCATGGAGAAGACGACAACATTGACTGAATAACATATCTTCCCCCCATTGATGTGTAGCACCCCTTCTTTCATGTATTAAATTTCCATATGATTGAGGATCTAGTTCTGGACTATATCCTAATCCAATGATCTTTCCCTTTGTACTGTTTCATGCTGTTTTTTATATTGTTTTAATACTGTAATTTCACAATACATTTTAATATCTAATACGGCTATACTAGATTCCACCTACTCTCATTACTGTTTCTTTTCTTCATTTTTTAAATCTTCAAACTGGCAGAAAAGTGGGGAAAAAATAATACAAGGAATACTCACATTCCCTTCACCTAACAGTAAGTGACTGTCATTGTCTCTCTGAGTTCCTGGAGAAACAGAATCCAGCTCTGAACACAAGGACATGCTTGTAGCTGTCAAAGAAGGCAGGGCTGGTTGTCTACAGGGCTGTAAAAACAACTCAGGTACCATTACCCTCACTGCACTTAATGCAATTTACATAGTAAAACAAATGAGACAAAGCATGGCATTAACTTAGATTTGAGCCCTGAAGGCTACTTATTACTGGGGGGCAGCAGAGTACAATAGGTAAATTCAATGTTTTTTGAAAGGATTCTAGTTAGATATTTATGGTGTGTGGTGGTTTTGCAATGTTGTCCACGTGGCTAACTGGTACTATGTTTCCCAGAATTCCCTTCCCTGCTTATTTCTGGCTAGGGTTGGGCTACACGAGAAGTGTGCATGAGATTTGTGTGGAAGTAATGCCACGACCATGTTGCATTTCATGCACACTTCATGAATCTTGTGGGCAGTAGCTGGGCTCACAGCTTCTCCAGCTCCCAGAGAACTCTGCCTGCTGCTCTGCCAGGTCTGGGGCCAAGTGTGACACTCACTCCTTCAGGTCATCAGCAGGGAAGACGAAGGCTCAGAGCGGCCAGTGCGGGTTCCAGTGAGAGACGGATGCTGGGTCTACCTTGTTGCTTGCAAGCTTCAGTTGTACTAGCTCCCCCACTGCACATCCAGCTTCTTGCCCAGCCACCTGTTCTGTGACTTCAGGTGAAGAAAAAACAACAGAGCCGGGACTGTGGTACCAGCTGCTGAAATTAATTGCTTAAGGTCAGTCCCTTTAACACCCCCTTATTCTACATCATTCCTAGTGGTTCTTCTCTAATAACTTGGTGTTACCTGTCCCTTCTCTCCTTAGTATTTTACTTTTCCCAGTGGATTCCAGCAATCGGAGTGATTTATTTCAAGAAAGTTGTGCTAGATGTCTGTTGGTTAATACTCGATGACCTATCTGGCCACTGTAGGACGTTTCAGGAGAGGAGGCGGCCGGAGTTGTGGAAGAGCCCTGGCTGGAAGTTTCCAATCTTGATCTTCGGTAAGTCATTTAAACTTCCCTGAGCCTCAGTTTCCACCTCCCAACAGCATGAGCTGGTCTGGATGGGTTGTCAAGCCCCTTCTGACTCTTAAGAGTTCAAGCCTGCAATTCTGATGCTTTACTCTGTAGCGATGGAGAGGACCGTCTTTGCCTGTCGTCTCTGAGCAGTGGCCCTCCGTCTTAGTGTAGTGACTTAAATTCTGAGTTCCCAAGGAAATGCTGCTTTCCTTCTTTTTGTCAATTATAAATTGGGTGTCTAGTGGCTCCCTTCTTTTAAGTATCTGCTTTGTTTGTCAGTTTACTCATGTGTATCTATGAACACCATCAAACAGGGCCCTATAATGCAGCCTCCTCGTTTGACTGGTTGAAGCAGGTCAGCAGAAGCTGGCCTTCTCTCCTTGTATTATGTGTATATAAATTTACAACAAATGCATTGTGATAATGTAGATTTCAAGAGCACCTTTATATAGAGTGCATGTCTTTGTTTCCCTCAGAGTTTTCTCATTTGTAGTAAATTATATTCTCTGCCGGAGAAAATACTTGATGAAATGAGTTTTGAGTACTTCCTACATACCCTGAGATAGGCATGCACTCAGGAAATGAGGTGGGGTATTTGTGTGTGTGTAAAGTATTCTCTAGGTATTTCTTTCCTTTTTCCTGATACATGAAAAAGGTCCACTATAGGAGTTACAACCATGCTGTTTCCAAGGTTATGTAAAGCAGTGGCCCTGGGGGATTGACATGTGCCACTGGTTCTGGGATTTGTAGAATTTATTTAGCTTTGGCGTTTCCCCTGGTCCCAAAGCAAAACCAGGAATCTTCAGAAATTGATGGCTGTGAGAAACACTATTAAATTCTAGATTGAAAATTTCCTCTCCCCAACTTGTTTACACCTCAGCTAAACCCAGATATATAGTACTCAGTAGGAAATTACTTAATATGTTGATACTAAAGATTGTGGGTAAACATTTTTCTTCTTGTGAACTTTTCAGGTGTAATTTTTTTTTTAAATAATGAGAGAAGTACTTTTGCTTTTCTTTCCCCTATCCTTTCATTACATAGTGCTCCAGAGGAGACATCACTCTTCCCTTTTATAACAAATCACATTTAACTTCTTGCGAATGTGCAAGGCATTCAAATGTCACGGCTACAGAGGGGAAGGGTAACCAGATAAACTGTTCAAGTTTCAAACCAAAAAATCAAAACGTTTTTAGTAACTAAATCTGGGTGGCTCCGAGTATAACCAGTGTCTCCTGTGGGATTGAAGTGTGTCTGCATCCACCACTCTTAGGGATTTGTTCTGGGGCATCTGTGTCACTGTAAGAGCTATTGGCATTTACTGATGACTCAAGTTTTCTTCACCAATCAAGGCATATTCCTCCTACCTTTTATTCTATAGTGAGGCATCACTGATACTGAAGGCTTTTGTGAACCAAGTGCTTTTCATTCAGTCTTTCAAACTGTCACAATTCCCTTGCCCAGAGAGGACCCAGACCACAGCTGCACTACCCCTCTCTAAGCTGCCTTTGCTGGTGACACTGCTCCTACAAGGTTACATTCTGCATTTCCTGTGGGACAGCATTTCAAAACAACTCTAGTGTGTTAGCTAGAACCAAAGGAATGAAACTCCTGTTTTTACATAAACCCGATTTGATGTCTATGTGCATAAACTGCAACAATATGATTGACTTGTAAACATCTTCCAAGAAGGTGCTGTAATTTTCCAGTTGATTTCGCAACACTTTAAAGATATAACCAGCATAGTTATGTTGTACAGGGATGAATGGGCCCCACAGAGTGCTGGAAATAACTTACTTCCCTCTTACTTATAGGCTCAGAAGAGTAATAGTCAAAGAAAAGCACCTAGACAAATTTTGTTTACTGGACCTGAAACATTCCTACTTAGTGTCAGAAAAACAAAAGCAGACAGGAGTATTTAAAACAAAATGGCAGTGAAGGTTTTAAAGGTAAAAAGGTTTTGTCAACTAGTCCCACTTTACATCTATACCTTACTTCCCCTTAGTCTAAGCCCTGGTCACATTATAGTTGTCAAAACCCAAACTAGTTCCCCAACACCAGCCTACTCAGCTCCCCAAATCTGTCTGCGTTTAAACTAGTAACTGGCTGACCTTCAGGCCTTTCCAACATCTACACTTTCTCACCTGAGCCTCTCACTGAAACTGCTCCCCCTGCCACCTTCCATCTCGAGGCATATTTATTCCTCTCCCTTTATTCTTGTCACACACCCACCTCCAATTTTTCTGCAAGGTCCTAGCCAACACAGCACTTCTAGTCTTCACTCACCCAGTCCAATTCTTCTTAAAATTTCTTAAATCTAACTTTAACTCAGAAACCTTTCACAACCAGCTTAAATGGCATCACCTGGGATTCTTGTCATTCTTCTGTCTGCTTGCACAGAAGGTAAATGCTGTATTCCTTCTGTGCATAATTCTTTACTAACAAACTGATGAGACTAAGCTTCTATTCTCTTAAGTCATCATGTCCAGTGTCATTTATAAGCAGAGAGGTCATTAAGAAGTACGTGGCAAGAACGGAGACCAGGTCTTTAATAATTATTTCTCCTCGGTTTTTCCTACAAGAATTATAACACCATTTATGTATATTAAAATGTACCCCAGATGTGTATCTGACCTTTTTTCATCCTACCCTGTACTTGTGCTGGATGCAATCAGTCAGCAAATACTTAACCATGCGCCTCAGGTTTCTACACTCTAGTGTGCATTTGGTACAGACCTGAATGAAGGCTGGCATGAAACTGCTAACGATCCATTGTTTCATGTGGATGACAGAGCACATGATGTATCTGATGACTTCACCATTTTATTTTGAGCTACTTCCTCTTTGACATAAGAGCAGGATAGGTTCCACCACCGCTCCTTTCACAACGGGGACGTTACTGTTCCCACCAAGTTTACAGCTGCAAAGAGAGGTCCTTTCTCATATTTATGTATAAACAGGTACCAGTTTTGATTTTATTTCATCGTATTAACACNGGTTTGGGCTCTTTCAAGGATCACGTATAAACAGGTACCAGTTTTGATTTTATTTCATCATATTAGCCTACATGACACATCAACATGAGAAATGCACAATTTAACCATTCAACAGCTTGCCTTACTCCAAAAGAATACTATATTCATATTAAACATTTATACAGTCTTTCCACCAAACTTTACAAATATCCCAAACCATTTCCCAGGATTTCTCACATGGAAATTTAGTTTTGCTCTTTAAAATCATCGTTCTGTATCATCCCAGCAGATTCCGGGGCTTCCCTAGGATCACATGCTGAGGAGAGCAGGCCACCGTACAGCCTGCAGATGCCCAAGCAGATCCAGACCCTGCCTCCCAGCTGCCCCCTCAGCATGGTAGTCTTGATTCCAAGAACTGAGTATTTGACATTAACGGTCAAGGACTAAAGGTTGTAGAGTATGACGACATCACAGTCACAAGAAGGAAGGGGACCATGGTCAAGGGAAATCCTAAGTGATGGACGGCAAATTTCTGCCCAAATATCTAAACCAAGTCCCCAAACCCTCCTGAAACATACTTAACATTGGAGCTACTGCTTTCATTTCTTAAAAATGTTCAACAGTTGTGGACAAACTCTGAAAGCAGTGAGCTATTACACATTTGTGTGTGCATACATAACACATCAAAAATTACTGTGTGAAACCTTGAGAATGTCTGATTACATCCAAAATGTAAAAGTATAAGAAACACTAACTCAGATGATTCAACAGAACTTTTTCAATATGGTAACAGTGTACTCCCTGTGCAGTTCACTCTCTCTGCCTTCACTGTAAACCCACATCATAGCACGTTATCTGTGCACAACCAGTCGTGTTAATTGTTACGATCAAGTCAGTTTTGAATCATGTCATTCTATGCTGGTTTTAGCAGTCACCATAGGAAACATTAAGTCACATCCTAGTCAAAAGACTGTCCATTTCTCAAACACAGAAAAACCTGAGATATGAGTCAGCAACTAGCTACACTTACAGTAAAGAACAATCTCTCCCCCCCCCCAAAAAAAAAAGCTGCTGACATGAATTAAGGCTTCAAAAGAGGACCATACTGTAGCTAACAAAACCCAAGCCACGGAGTTTAAAAGCAGGGATGTATGATCACGTGTGTACTTGTCCTAAGCACCTCCTATTTTCAGCTGCCAGGATTGATTCCATAGTGATTGTAGGTCACAGACTGAGAGGCCACCTTGGTCCCACCCCATTTCGATAGGTCCCGTCTACTAAAGAAATGCTGGGGATAATTTCTGAGAATAGCTTGGCTGTGGCTTTCCACTCTGCTCACAACGAAACAAAATCCAACCACCTTCTCCTCACCTCCTTACAGTTTTATTCTGAACATTCCTTGCTTACTAAAGCCTCTCTCAGCCCGATTAGTAAATCTGAAAGTCTAAGGAAATTATAGAAATACTACCACCCTCCTCACATGCTAAGGGGAAAAAACACTAAGAAATATGTTTCCTGCTTCTCCTCAGCAACTGTACAAACTTCTTTAATCTTATCATAGCTTTTCTCCCTCTTGATAGTTTCCCTTAAAAGTCTACCTGTTACACTTTCACAAAATGTACCTGTGCAATGAAACAAGTGGAAAACATCTACTCCAGCTGAGAATCTGAAGGTGCTGCTGCTCTGCTACAACCCAAATAAATTCACATCTGGCTTTAAACCAAGTTAATCTTTATTTAAAGGATTACCAACCCCGTTTTGAACAATTCTTTGATTTATAAAGAGGGAGGCAGACTTGTTCAGCCTCCCAACTTAGCTTAAATCATTATGCTGCCAGATTCCTGGCTGTCACACTGAATCCTAGAGGGCTTCCCTTCTCTCTCTTCATAAAGCTGAGAAAGAAAATACTAACCGCCTCCATCCAGGCCCGACTGGAAGTCTGTGCATAGACAGTTTGAATTGGTCTGAAGAGTGTGACTAGCTACCTACCTATTCACAATGCCGAGAAAATGGGCTCCCAGACATGGTAGTGGTGAAAGCCCCGACTCTGTCTGAGGTACTGGGTTTGCTCTAAAGTAGATCTTGGCAAGGCCCCTAATGGTCTGAGCAGGAGAGTGATGCGTGAGTCACTCGGCTGTGCGGTGAGCTTGGATCTGAATCAGCTTTGGACGTGATCATTTCTCTTGGATTTGCCATTAGGTTCTGTCCCTAGGAGGGTCTACCCACCCGACCCACAAGCTGGCTCAGTCTCAGCGCTAAGGTGCACTACGGAAGGACGGGACACAGACTAGAAGTTGAGATCTCTGTAGCACATGAAAACGGGAGGGGATTTTACCCTCCAACACCAAATAAAACGTGACTCGGTAAGAACGAGAGGATGTGCAATTCACTGCGTGTAACTGTTCTGTCTACGGGGAACTCTAGCATCTGCCCTCCGCTTTTGTCGAGAGAAATATTAGCTGGTCTCTCAGATGCAGATGTTGNATACTACCACCCTCCTCACATGCTAAGGGGAAAAAACACTAAGAAATATGTTTCCTGCTTCTCCTCAGCAACTGTACAAACTTCTTTAATCTTATCATAGCTTTTCTCCCTCTTGATAGTTTCCCTTAAAAGTCTACCTGTTACACTTTCACAAAATGTACCTGTGCAATGAAACAAGTGGAAAACATCTACTCCAGCTGAGAATCTGAAGGTGCTGCTGCTCTGCTACAACCCAAATAAATTCACATCTGGCTTTAAACCAAGTTAATCTTTATTTAAAGGATTACCAACCCCGTTTTGAACAATTCTTTGATTTATAAAGAGGGAGGCAGACTTGTTCAGCCTCCCAACTTAGCTTAAATCATTATGCTGCCAGATTCCTGGCTGTCACACTGAATCCTAGAGGGCTTCCCTTCTCTCTCTTCATAAAGCTGAGAAAGAAAATACTAACCGCCTCCATCCAGGCCCGACTGGAAGTCTGTGCATAGACAGTTTGAATTGGTCTGAAGAGTGTGACTAGCTACCTACCTATTCACAATGCCGAGAAAATGGGCTCCCAGACATGGTAGTGGTGAAAGCCCCGACTCTGTCTGAGGTACTGGGTTTGCTCTAAAGTAGATCTTGGCAAGGCCCCTAATGGTCTGAGCAGGAGAGTGATGCGTGAGTCACTCGGCTGTGCGGTGAGCTTGGATCTGAATCAGCTTTGGACGTGATCATTTCTCTTGGATTTGCCATTAGGTTCTGTCCCTAGGAGGGTCTACCCACCCGACCCACAAGCTGGCTCAGTCTCAGCGCTAAGGTGCACTACGGAAGGACGGGACACAGACTAGAAGTTGAGATCTCTGTAGCACATGAAAACGGGAGGGGATTTTACCCTCCAACACCAAATAAAACGTGACTCGGTAAGAACGAGAGGATGTGCAATTCACTGCGTGTAACTGTTCTGTCTACGGGGAACTCTAGCATCTGCCCTCCGCTTTTGTCGAGAGAAATATTAGCTGGTCTCTCAGATGCAGATGTTGAGAACAACTGTGTTGATCCATCTTTTGCTTTTACACCATAGCTCCATTTTCCAAAAATATATATGTATGTACATATATATATATATTTCAGATTTACAGGGAATATTTTTTTGTGTGAATGAGAAAAAAACTGTCAACAGAGTCACGAGTGTCCTCCTTCTCAGGAGACCTCAATGATTTCCATGCTGCCTGAGAAGCTAGACTGGCTGCCCACTTTCCCTAGTTCTTCCCGTGACCTATTCTCAGACATGATGCTCTCTCCAAATTCCATCTGGCAGCTTCTGCGTTTAAACTGCTTTTCAAAGGGGCTCTCTTCATGCCAGCTCCGCCGGGAGTCAGCTCTGTCACTTGGCTTCTGCCGCCTGCGCACGGAATAGACTTGGTCACTGCACGTGGGCAGCTGGCTGCAGCTGTAGGCAGAGTAACTGGCACTGCCTCCGTAGATGGCTGAGGCAGAGTAGAAGTGAGAGGACTCCGTGGCAAAATACCAGCTGTTGGTCAAAGAAGGGGTGGAGGTCTGGGGAGCCAAGATATCTGAGTGCCAGCCCTTGAGGCCCAGTCCAGCGGCAGACTTCGCGAGGTGTTGCTGGCTGGTGGAAAGGCCAAAGAGAAAGTTGGTGTGGTAGTTGTCTTCCACGCTCCCACTTCGATGCAATGGAGATAAGAAGGACCTCTGGGTGGCACCACTACTGCTGGTTCTTACTGAATGTAACCGCTTGCTCTGGCTGTCTGAAGGCCTGGTAGTCTGTGGCTTCTTAGGGATGTTGGCTTCCTCCTTATCGGGGCTGGTTTCTGGAGTCTGCTCTGACACTTCCTCAACTGGGGAGAACTGGCATAGCTTGCTGGCCCCATCCAGAGTGGTGGAAGGTTTGTAGTAGTCCAGAGAGTCTTCTGACGAGGGGAAACCATGCAAGGATGCTGCCATACTGGCCGAGTACGAAACGGATTTGATATCCAGAGAGAAGGAACGCTTGAGCTTATTGCTGTCTTCCAGCTTGTCTGAGGACAGGTGGAGCCCGTTGAGCGCCTGTACCAGTGGGCTGTCCTCTAGCAGTGATGGCTGTATGCTGGGCACACTGGCAGGATGCACAGGCCTCTGCCCTGCTGCCTCTGAGGTAGCAGAGTCGGCACAGGGTGGACTGAGGGATGTCTCGCTTCTCTGTCCACCCTCTGAGACTGCAGGGACAGGTTCATTTGGCTTCTCCAGGTGCAGCAGCTTGAGTTTGCTCTTTGGCCCTGATGCTCCAGTCTGGTTCTTAATCTTCTTCTCATAGTCCAGGAGTTGGCCCAGAAAATTGAAGTTTGGAGATATAGTAGGTCTTTTTTCTTTCACAAATCTATGAAGGAAAAAAAAACCAAACCTTTGAATTTTATTACTACACTTTATCTTAGGAATATTAAGTGAATAAATGAGATAGGGAGTTATCAGACACACCCTCCCAAATGCCTTTGGAAGATGATTGTTTTAATCAGGCAGACACCTCAAGGTAGAGAACAGAAAGCCTCTGCATTGGGGGACATTTTTAACATGTCCCCAGAGCATGCTAGAAAGGGAGGTGCCAGGTCCCCAAAAGCTCTAGTTTTAGCTTCTTTATTTTCAAGGACCCAAAGCTTCCAATGCAATTGATGAGATGGTTCCTTCCTCACCACCAAGACCCCTCCCCCAGGCACTACCATCAGAAAGAAGTACGGTAACAACTGTACTTTCCATCTTCTGTTTCCTAATATCATGCCTCCTCAAAGTCCCCAAAGTCACTTCCTCAAGACAGTTCACAATATAAATTAATGACCAAAAAAGAGGTTATCAGATGGACAGAGCACCGAAGCACACATTTCTGAGTTCCTTTTTTGTTCTCAATCGGACAGCTACAGTGGTCTGTGTGTGCCCAGCACTGTGCTGATGTGTTAACAGTGTTATCCAGTCCTCCAAACCACCCTTCGTCAGGTGGGTATAATTATCCCCGTCATATAGGTACCTAAAGTCCTTAAGTGACTTGCCTAAATCACACAGCTACTAAGTGATGGCACTGAGATTCAAAACCAGGTCTAAGGTCCATTTTTGTCACAACCACGTTAAAGAAGATTCATCGAGGGATCAAAACCAATAATAAATAGCTGTTATGTTTCATTGCGGAAATAGACTCTTAAGAGATAGCAGATAAACCCTTTAGTGGCCCCTGGACCTCATGGACGCTCCTCAGAAGACGTAGGAGTGAAACAACACTGAAAATTTATATTTTAATAAGGAGAGAGAAAAATAAAAAATAAACTCCTTGGAACTCAAGTAACCTAAAGCCAATTAACACAGCCAGAAACAACTGGCTCAACCATAACAAGTATAAATTTAGCGACCTCATAATAAGACTTTGTATGTGATGTGTGGGTGCCTTTTCTTCTGCCTGGTGCAGGAGGAACTTGGGGAGGAAAGCCTGAATGAAGGGTGAAGAGCTAATGCAGACAAATGGAGGACCCAGCCCCTCCATCTCCTTCCTCAAATGGAAGCTTGTTCATGCAGCTCATCTATTTTTTCCCAATTTGGAAAAAAAAAAAAAAGTCCCCAAACAGGCCAGCTTCATGTGTCTGTATTGACTGATTCTTAATCACATGAAAACTAACCACCTCAATCCAGTAAGACATGCAAAGAACTGAGAGTCTCCAGCTACTGAAGAAAGCCCCAGTCCTCGGTGTGCTGGGGTCACTGCCTGCCCTCCGTTTTGAGAAAGGGGGGAGGGGGGACCCAGTCAAAATCATACTCTACACAACCTGGGCAGCTCTAGAATGTAGGAGATGTTACTCAGTGAACAGAACCTGACAATTATTAGTCTGACAGTACTCGCATGTATCATCAGGCTTTTTCCTCACAGTGAAAGAGACAAAGCCTGAAGCAGAGTAAAAATTCTATGATTAGTCTCCTGGAGCTTTATCCCTCACATTTAAATTAGAATAAATGGTATTTCCCCAATTAGGAAAAGATATAAATTCATATAACAGGATAGAGGTCTGCTTGGATTTGTTGTTCCTTGAACATAAAAAGTAGCTCAGGATACATCTGACGCATTAGGGTAGAATTCACGCTAAATTACAGAACTGTGTTCTCCAGTCTTTGAAAAGACCACTGAAGACCCAGCCACCTGTAAAGAGTATAAAGTAATCATAATCCACTTTACTGTGGTTACCCACCCTCCTCTTTCCATGTCTGGAGGAACATGGAAAGCCAGCGCACAGGACACGTCCTGTCCTCACCTGTAAGCTTCATCCAAGGACATGTCCATCCTCTTCATGATGTAGGCAATGGCGATGGTGGCGGAGCGAGAGATGCCGGCCAGGCAGTGCACCAGGACACAGCCGTTGGAGGCTTTTGCTTTTTCTGTATGAGTGAAATCCAAGAAGGGTCAGTGTCCTTCATCTGACAACTCAAAGTACATCTCATCCAGTTAGAGACATTTCCTTTCAATAGTCTTTTAGGGAGATCGAGGAAGATAATTTCCCCACCATTTACATATAGGATGGTGAAGGTCCGGCCGTACTAATAAGCAGTTTGTCCCTGACTCAGGTTGACAGACTCTTATTCACTACTTTTCACCATGTATTTTTCGTATTATTTTTTATTTTAATAACTTTCCCAGAGTATAAATCATACATAAGGATTATATGATTCTACTTGTTTAGTGTAGAAAATTTCAGAAATACTAAAAAGTATAAAGAAAATAATAACCAAAATCTTAAGATTTAGCTAACATTTTGTTTCCCTATGTTGTCTGTCACTTCAATTTTTTTCTAGTTAAAAGATATTAAATTTTTTTCCAGTTTTGAGATATAATTGGCATATAACATTGTAAATATAATAATTTGATATATAAGAGACATTAAAATTTTCAAAATATTTTTCATTCCAAACATGTTACATTACTATTTAAATATTAGCAGGGAGGCAGGGAGACGACAGACGACTTAATCATAATGGGATAACATCAACATAAAAAGATGCCAGGTCAAGCTACTTTTAAAATGCTGATTCATGGAACCTATAGTATCCCCATTTTTTGTTAGGAGATTTTTCTATATGTCATAAAGCGGCTCAACTTTATTTGCTGAATTTAAAAAGAAAACCAAAATATACTATAAATCAGGTTTAGCAGGTCACTTTAATGAGGACCAAAAGAACTGTAATCTCTCCCTTGCTATCCAGGAGTTACTGTCTGATTACATCATCCATTATCTTAACTCCCTATAACATGGTAGAAGGACTCGTGGACACTGTTAGAACTAAGAATCAAGGCAATTAAATGCACAGTGCTGCCATCTCTCACTGTTGAGGAGCTTTAATAGCTTTCTTATGGGAGTGGATGAAGTTATCCCACAAAGCCTGGAGGCAACTAACATTTTAACAAGTACTAGGACTGCCTCAATTCTAAACAATTACATGTGTGCTTACCATGAGCTGCTGCCATGGAGGTAAATTCTTCTCTTTTCATTCTTGTCTTAGTTGATATTACCAAAGCTTACCAAACCTTATACTAAAATTCTTGTAATTAACAGACATCCAAGGAATCTGCTCTGGCAGCTGAATAATACAAGGCTGCTCCAATGTTATAAATACTACAAATTTCTATTAGTATGATTAATTATTCATTATGTACAAAACACCACAGGGCTTTTGAATAGCTTCCCTTTAGATAGGGAAGTCAGACATAATAAAACAAATGAATACAAAGCAACACTGATCAAATAAATACTATATAACATAATTTTATACAAACCCATGTACTAAGTCCCATGCTTTCCTGGGCCTACATAGTTCTCTTACTTCTCTCAGCTGTACAGTATTTAGCCTATCCTACTCTTAGTATTTCCCCTTTGCTTTGGCTGCCAAGAAGCTCAAAGCTAAGGTTTTCACTTTATTTCAATAGGCAACTATAATTCAGATTTTATTGTACCTTTGCTAGCTTCATATTACTTGTTTCTTGCCCTTTTATCCCATTTTCATGTGTATGTGTGTGATTATGTGTCTTTCGATCCCAAACTCTTACTGTAAGCTGCTTCAAATTCTTATTGGAGTCCTGGCTGGTGTGGCTCAGGTGGTTGGAGCATCACCCCATACACCAAAAGACTGTGGGTTTAGAATCCCGGTTGGGGGGGGTGTGTGCAGGAGACAACTAATCAATGTTTCTCTCTCACATGGATGTCTCTCTCTCTCTCCCTCTCTCTAAAATCAATTTTTAAAAAAATCTACTTAAAAAATTCTTATTGGAAGTAGCCTGGGTTTAAATTTTTTTTAATGTTGACAATATTCTCTCATTATTTTAAATAATTATCTCAAAACTAGATTATAAGGACCTAGAAGGGCCTTGCTTCTAAAATTCCCCTCAAAGGGTTTAACACTGGTCACACAGTAAATACTGGCTGGCTGACTGATACATATTTTAAAAAGCAATCTTTATAAAAAATTTGAAAAGATTGGATAAGATAAAAAAACAATCATGATAACAGATGTGTTAGGATGTTGAGGTTATAGGTTTCCTTTTCTCAGTATTATAAATTTTCTGCATTTCACTTTAACTGTTTTTACAATTACAACTTTTTTGATCATGTATTTAAAAAATTTTATGAAAAAGTGATTATACCAGAGTGGGGTTCATTAGAACCTATTTCTTGGCAGAAGTGAGTGCTAAACCGAGTCTTAAAGCAAAGGACGTAATATACACAGTCCTGGCAGAGAGAAGGGAAATGTGTACAAGAAAGCTCTGTGGGGACAGACTGCTCAGAAGACCGTCCGCCTTGGCTGGTGCTCGTGAGCTATGCAGGAAGTAACTAGAGAGAAGGTTTCAGAGGTGAGGAGCAGGTGCTGGAGGGTCTGGGCATGTCTGGCTAAAAATTTGTCGCCAATTAAGGAGCCTCTGCAGTTTCCTAAATGAGGGACAAGAGGCTCTGATGGTGAAAACTGGGAATTTAAAAAAAAAAAGGTTTCCACCATAGCAGTTCAGGGATAAAATCTAGGTTAAAAAAGGGTGAGAAAATAACAGATGTAAAGGGTAAGGGGGAACCAGTGAGGACATCAAGTTCCAAAGGCTAACACGAAGGTAGTTATAACTGAGGCTACAGAGTAAAGCTCTAAGAAAAACAAACACCTCATAATTTTTAAAACAGCTACTATTTATTAGCTAGGCTCTTTGCAAAATATATTCTACATATATTACCTACTTAAATCCTCACACTATCCCTATGAGGTAGATACATTATCTTCAGTTTCCAGCTCAGGAAACTGAGGAACAGAGAAGTTTTAAGTAACTTACCCCAAATCACTTAACTAATAACCAAGGGAGGCAGGACTCAAATACAGTTTGGCTCCAAAGTATATGCTCTTAATTACCTCCACGCAAAGTCACGAGTTTGATGTGGGTGAAGTGGGGTGGAGCCAAGGAGACAGTGTAAGCAGCCAGCTGGGAACAGGGGCACCTCATGAGTGTCCCATAGCACAAATAGGCAAACCGTGCTTATGCTGCCTACATTAACTAAAAATACAGATCAAATTCCATGAAAACCTGAGGCCTCCCAAGAAGCCCAGAAACTTACTGAAATTTAAATAATAAAAAGAAAAAAAAATACCGAGGAGCCTGTAAGTTATTAACTCCTGGTATAAGGGTGTGTTGTTATATACTTGCCATGACTGACCATGGCTTAAAAATACCACGGAGAAGACTAGCAACCACAGTGAACGAGGGCCAGATTCCAGAGCTGGGCTGGAGAGTTTGCCCTGAATTACTGGATGGGATAGGATGGTGGCCCTAGTATAGGGTCAAACAAGTGAAAATATTTTTAGGTACTACAAATAAATTACATTATGTATGTGTGTGTGTATTTATCCAGCTTGGAACATGGTGAAGTTCCTTTTGTATGAATTAAAAGTGGCAGGATGACACCGATATATCCCATGAAAGATGGAAATAAGTTGAGGGCAAGCTATTCATATTCTCTTTTCCATTAGCCCTCCTAAAGCTTAGACATTGTCATGACTTAACAGAATCAGGTTCTGAAATTGTACTTTTAGCTGAAATTAGAACCAAATGTCTCTGGATCAATGTGACAGGCAATGAGCACATTACCTATAGTTATCTTTTAAAGAGGCAAAACCTAAATGATATGCGGGGATTAATTTTGGGAGTTTTGTTTCTGGTTATATTAATGTATCCTAATTAAAGATGAAAACTCTTGGCAATCTAGAATCTTAAAAAAAAAAGAGAACTGTTTCAGAATTAACCAAAGTTCTTGAAAATTTCTCTCACAGATGAAAGTATATAATAGAGGCTTAATTTACATAATTTCACTTTTTAAAGGGAAACTATTTTTTTAAATTACAGTAACCAATTCAGAATATTTAATTATGGATTAGAGTGCTCAAATTTATGTACTTTGGGGAAAAACAACAACAAACACTCCTCATCTGGAACACCAAGAGTCAACCCTGCTATGCTGCTCGAGTGCTGGCAATGTTTCTCCTCTGCTCACCTCTCCACTAGAACCCCACTGAAAATACACATCTCCAACGGACTACCAGCAGACTTGATCCCTCAGAACAAAATGGCACCATAGCACCTGAAGCTAGGAGTTGGGGTGGGGTGGGAGG